CATGGAGGTAGAGGATATGAAGCAATAAACAGCTTTGGAGGCTGGTTAAATGCCAAGTGAAGCCAGGACTACAGTACCATAAACATTATTACTACTATGACAAGATAAGGAGGTGCAAGAAGCTGCCCTCAACCTCACCACAACTAGGGCTCCATTGCTATTCTTGGCCTTTGAAGAGAAAAAGAGGCCCTGGAGGTCTATGAGTTAGTTGTGTTTTTCATGTCTCAGAAAGATATGAAGAAAATCTCAACCTCTATCTAGATGTCCTCTGGGATAAAGTAGGTATCTTCAGACTCTCAGGATCATACTGTACAGATGACTTTCCCTTGAAAGGACAGAGATGATACAGAGTGGTTATGACAGAAACTTTTCTCAGTGGCTGATAATGGGATACTACTAACTGTTCCTGAGTGGTATTTCCTCAGAGGAAATGTGCTCCTGTTCTTTAGGATAAAGCCATTCTAAAGTAATAAGCTGATATGACCAGCTTTTGCTCAAAGACTGATGATGGTATCCAGAGGGGCCATTTAAATCTACATAATTTGTACTACAAACCACTGTTATATGCCTGTGAGGGAGGTACAGGATTATGGAATGTGTAGACTCCTAGGAATAAAAACTGGGTAAAAATAAAACAAAAAAAGAGGTATATTATTTAACTATGTACACATGAAATAATATCTGAAATTCAAGATTACCAACATAGTATTTATACCTGCTTCCACATATAACAGAATAATTTTATATTCCATCTTTAAGTGAAAGTGGCCCCCAAAAGTATTAAAAATTACAAATTAAGCCAGGTATGGTGTTTCACACCTGTAAACTCAGCTACTTAAGAAGCTGAGTCAGGATTACTTGAACCCACAAGTTTGAGGCCAGCTTTGGCAATATAGTGAGACCCCAACACAAAAAAAAAAAAAAAAGAAAAGAAAAAACCCGACAAAGCCATTTTATAGTCACAATGTTTATAAAGAGATGCTATCTAATAAACATTTCAAAAACCCATATAACTTGATTCAACAGAATGTCTGGGGGCCCTATGAACACTAACTGGTCCCCTCTCAGGAAGCAGCTCTATTAATGACTCCTTCTACCATATTCCACAAAGAGGTTTTAGCAGGAAAACTTTTTCCTACAGTTCTTCCTCATGAAAGTGACACTACTTCAAGAGAAACAAAGTATCTCAACAGGAGAACAGAAATAAGAGGGCTAAAAAACTCTTATCACCTGTTTTTTTCAGATAAGAATGCAGACAGTACAACCTTTAGCTGCCATCTTTTTTTTTTTTTTTTAAAGTACATGCAGCATATTTAGAACTCAGCTGTGTCACATCAGACGTACTGTTGGAAAGTGGATCATGAACAGAATCCAAAAATAACAGCCATTAAAGACCTAGCAACCAAAACATGTTTATGTATCCATTGAAAGCCTGGTGGTTTTGATTATATAGTAGAGAGCATAATCCACCAGTCTACTTTAGGTGAATTTTCCTTTCACCTTCCCTTAATATTAAAGAGTAGGATGACATTAATTTAGGCAAATACAGGGTAAACTCTGAGCAGGGAACTATAGAAACAATTCAAGATTCCTATAGTTGTTGTTTTAAATTTTTATTTTAAGACAGGGTCTCACTAAGTTGCTGAGGGTCTCAATAAGATGTTGAGGCTGATCAAACACTTGTGATCATCCTGCCTTAAGTTGCTGGGATTGCAGGTATGCACCAGTGTGCACAGCAAGATTCCTATAGTTTTATTTGCTTGCTTTTAACAATCAGCCTCTTCAATTACAAATTTGCTTCCATTCCTGTTTTCTCTACCTGGTAAAAGCCATTGCTTTTTTTTAATATTTAGTTTTTAGTTTTAAGTGGACACAATATCTTTATTTTATTTTTATTTGGTGCTGAGGATCAAACTCAGTGCCTCACATGTGCTAGATGAAATTCTACCACTGAACCACAATCCCAGCCCAAACCACTGCTTTTTGAGACTTCTGTCATAGTAGGTTCTAAACTATGCCTTCTAAAATGTATCTTGGTTCTTATTTTCTTTCTTTCTTTTTTTGTATTGGGGGATTGAATCCAGAGGCACTGTACCACAGAGCTACATCCCCAGCCTTTTCATTTTGTGAGACAGGGTCTCACTAAGTTGCCTAGGATCTTGCTAAGTTGCTTAGACTGGCCTTGAAATTGCCATCTTCCTGCCTCATCCTTGTCTGGCTATCATGGTCCTTATTACCCTCCTGGAGCTTATATAGTTTTTTTAGTATTCTATATTTTCTGGAATAAATAATTTGAGTCAATGACAAGTGGATTACAAATAACTTTAAGACCTCTAGGTGGCTCAAGAATGCAACCATTCTCGAGGGATATAAGGAATTTGAATGACAGGCCAAGGGTAGCTAACAACTAAATTTATCTTCTCTGCCAGATTTTCACTAACGTATAACATTCATATAACATAAAGCAATCACAGTACATCTTGTAGAGATTCCACTCTAAGGCTATCTGTTACTAAATATTGGAAAAAAAACTTGGAAGGAGACTAAATATAACTTCAGAACTATAATCTCACCAGAAAATAGTTTGATATGCAAAGAAAATAAAGGAATGAATCATGCTGGCTCCAAAGTCTTAAGTTGTTGCTTTCTATCCTTTTCCTTTATCCCCCCCCCCCTTTTTTTTGTACTGGGGATTGAATCCAGGGGTGATTTATCATTGAGCTACATCCCCAGCTCTTTTTTATTTTGAGACAGGGTCTCAGTTGCCAAGGCTAGCCTCAAACTTGTAATCCTCCTATCTCAGTCTCCCAAGTCACTAGGATTACAAGTATTCACCACTACACTCAGCTATCCTTTTACTATGGAACAAGTAACTTAGAATTCTCAAGAAGGTAACAATTCCCCCAAGTGTCACACCCACCTTTCCCTTGGGGTTGGAGGAAGCTTTGAGGATGTAAGTCAGTGGTTATAATGAATCCTAATAACCAAAATACCATTACACAATTCAGAAGTGAGAAAGAAAAACAGGGGAAGGAAAGGATTATGATGAAATGAAACCTAACAATACAGGGAAGAATCAAAGCAAAAATCCTTACTGTTTTCCTACATCTAGGAAAATTTTTAAAAAATTTTTTTACAGAGAAAATGAAAACAAGGAAACAAACACCAATATTAGTGAATACTACTCTTTTTTAACAAGACAGCCTGAAGAGATGTTATTTACACTGTTTTGCTCAAAAAGCTTAAGAGATGTTTTTCTCGTGTATTCCTTATTTTTATCATCCATTCTTATTTCTTTGAGAAATCCTTGTTTGGATGGTTTTATGTATACTGCATAATAAGTATACTTAATGTAAGACATAGAAATTGAGTAGTTTAAGCAATAAATAAAGAAAATAATGGTAAATATCAGAAAAATAAATGCTTTCACCAAAAAAGCAGATTTTTCCAGTAGAGAAGTGAAAAGGGTACCAAGTTATCAGTTGTCAGAGTCATAGTAAATAGTATTATTAAATTTACACAGAAAGTTGGAGGGATCATTTTTAGGTATGTTCTTTAATAAAGCTGTTTGAGAAGTGAAAACAAATTTACCCTATATTTCTAACTGTCTTCTATTGTTAAAAAAATTAAATATAGACCACATGGGGAAACAAGCAGTCAGTAATAAAGTAGAATGTTTTGATAAGGAAAAGAAAATGCATCTTAGGAGGCTGAATATTGCAGAATACAATAGCTTTGTTAGTGTCTTATCTGAAATTTTCAGCATTTACTGAAATTTGGACTCTTCCCTCTGTCCATTTCTTGTTACCATCCTCATCTCTTCTACTACTCAAATTCCAGTTCTTAGTAGTCTGGGGTTTTTTTGTTTTGTTTTGTTTTGTTTTGTTTTGGTACCAGGGACTGAACTCAGGAGCACTCAACCACTGAGCCACATCCCAAGCCCTATTTTCTATTTTATTTAAAGACAGGGTCTCACTGAGTTGCGTAGCACCTCACTGTTGCTGAGACTGGTTTTGAACTAGCAATCCTCCTGCCTCAGCCTCCCAAGCTGCTGGGATCACAGGCATGCACCACTGTGCCCAGCCAATTCTTACTAATCTCTAGAACTAAACTCTTCTTTTTGTCTAAATATTTACAATGTTTACTAGAACTAGTCTGCAATCTTACATACTACCAGTAAGTGTCACTGGACAGGCCTATGACTTACTTCTAAATAAACAGAAAGTCACCCTTCAGGGCCTGTAAAATAAATTAATAAAGACAGATAAAAACTTTTTTTTGTATTCTTTTTCTTTTTTTGTGGAACATGGTATTAGCACAGAGTATTAAGAGTTAAGAAGTTTGAAAAAGGCAATTACATCAAAATTGCTTTATTAAAAAGGCATATGATGAGAAATATCTGACTTATACACATATACACACAAAATTACATGTCAGCTAACAGAACAATGCATTTCATAGTATCAGACAAGGGAAATGTTTATATACTGCTATAATATCTCAGGTTCTATATTAGATTTGTCTTTCCTAGATAGGTCTCTTCCTTACCTGTTAAACATGATTTTCTGGATCAATAGAAGAAACACTTTTTCTTATTTAAAAAAAAAAATCTGAAATTGGGGTTCACATGAAGGGTACCTTGTCAGCTATCTCTCCAAATATGTTAAGCAGATTTTTATATCCATGAAGATATTTCTAAACTTGCTTTGTATTTAGATGGATAGCTTTACAAAAGAGGAGAGAGCAACATGTATTCTTCAACACTGTGTGTTGGAAAACAAACACCAGTAGAATAACAATATGGAAGAGAGCAAGGCAGATTTCATTACGGTAGAGTGCCTACACTTCCTCATAACTTGGATTTACACACTGCAAATCCTCTGATCTGATTACCTCCAGTGATCACGTAAAATACCGGCTTTAAACTCTTTGCCTTAGTGATAAAACAGCCACTTTGATTCACAACAAGACATTCACAATAAAGTATATTGTAAACGTACCTGTCCACAGCCCGGGGCATTGCACACAAACGGTCTGTCGTCTCCCATATTTCATATAGCTGAGCGGAGCTGAGGAGGGGGAGGTAGGGGAAAAGTTATGTTAAATACGCTGGAGCAAAAAAATGTGCTTCAAAAATATCAAGCCTAGAAACAGGTGTTCCAAGAATGCTATCTATCAAAGCTGTAAACACAGGCTACTTTGAGGAGACCCATTAGACAGGTGGCATGTGATCTACTGTCCCTCAATTTAAATTTTGTATTAGAAAAATTTATACTTAAATAGTCAAGGAATTTCAAACCTTTCCTAGATTTTCCCTTTCTGCTACAGTATATAACACACTTCTCTAGTCTGCTGAATTACAACAGTGCAGTTCCCTATGTCAATAAATCCACTGAATGTTCAATGTGGAAGCCATATTTTTGAACTAGAGAAGACCAAAATTTGTCATTTAATTAATTAAGGGATTATAGGAGGGGTGCTCCGTTTTACAGGGCCATAATCTGGCTCCCTGATGTATAAACTACGAGACTGTTGGCAAGAGTCGTTTATCCCAGATTATTGCCAAAGAAAACAAAGCACCCATCCTATTGGGCTACATGGGAAATGATTTTCATTAATAAAAAAAATAAAAATAAAAGCCTTCTTTCCCCACTGGGAGCCTCCTCCTCCCCCCACCAATCGACTGTGGCAAATGGAGAAATATCGGTACCCTCCCCCCGCCTCTGATTCTATTTATGGTGAGGTTTTTAAAAGCAGCAATAAAACAAATGTCGACTCTTTGGGGGTTTACTGGGTGAATATGTTCCGGCTGTTTGTGCCGCTCTTGCCCAGAGTTCTTAGGCTGCTCTGTTGCAGCCAACAGATGTGTACTGCTGCAGGGGATAAAAGAAATGACACTAAAAAGCATCACCATCCATCTCCTCTATTTCTCTGAAGAATTTAACAGAATTTATAATTATTTATATGTGTGTGTGTGTATATATATATATATATATATATATATATATATATATATATATTTAATATTGAAGCTAAATTCTCAAAATATTGATTAACATTCTTTGTCAATGAACAATAATTCCAATCTCATTGGGTTGGGAAAATTTCTCATATTCCAACTAGGAATAAAAATAGAGGTATAGATGAATAAATATTAGAAATGCAAATCACAGTAAAAATATTCCCAAAAGATAAACAGTATTTTGGAAAAGTGGAAGAGAAAAACGGGGAAAGGGATGAAAATACCCTTATAGATTAAACTCTTAAAGGACATTTCCAAACATCTCTCCATAAGAGAGAAACGTATACAAACAAATGAACAGGGAAGATAACAGAGGCTGAAATAATTGAATCACATTCAATTATTTGAATATGATTGGAAATAATTTCAGAACTGTAACTAAATTTCAAATTTTATCTTAGAGATAAACAGAAATATCAATCTCAGTCAGGCCTATATTAAATTAAAAAGTTAACATGCTAGAATCAATCTGGTAACCAGAAAACCATGCTTAAAACATAGAGGGTGGGTAGGTAACATCTCTCCTATTCTCTTAGGGCTCACTCTGGGGTTAGAAACGAGTATTTCTGGTTGTCTAATCAGCAATTCCACAACTAATCAGCGCTTAAAATTGTGGGGTGCTCAATAAAATAGAAGGGGCTTCTTGGTCATCTTTCAATGTGATAGGAACATGGTCTAACCATGAAGGAAACTGATGCTGCAGCATTGCTGTAATGAAAGAGGCCCTGTATGTACATACATGTACACAGATTTATATCACATTTAGCCAGGATAAATTGCTTCAATAAATTCTGTTCCTAGGAGACGCTAGCTCAAGCTGATGATTGGGTACTAGGAAATGAGAGCTTCATTCTTCTCCACATAGCCCCAGGACAAGGGAGTTTTTTTGGGGGGTTGTTTGTTTATTTAAAATATATGATGATTTTTTAGTACTTTTTGGAAACACAACATTGTACAAAAAAAAAAAAAAAAAGGTAAACAAAAGCAGATAAATATAAAGACCAAGAACTTTATGTCTGAAAATTCAGATAATTTCTAAAAAGCAATTCATCTCTGGAAAAAGTCCTAAATGCTGTGCTACAGATAATTTCACTTTCTAGTCCTAGAACCTGTTTTCCTAATATAATTACAAAATGAAATTTTATTTCAAAAAGGGCCTCCAACGTATTTTCCAACCAGGAAGTAAACTACAAGGGCTAGAATAGACACAAGAACCACGCAAAATGCCTTATTTTTTATCTTGGTTCTGATATTTGGACCTAAATGTTCTCATTTTTCTATTTACTTAGAGGAAGAAATGGGTTCTGGCTGAGAAGGGGACAGCACTGGCATACAAAGTGATTAAATAAATTTTGGAATGATTTCCATAGAACCACAAAATTCAAACTTAACTTGGCTTTTCACAATCACTCCACAATATATGGCTTCTGGGTTTTATTTAATGGCATCATTATTAGGAGATAGAGATAAGAAAATTGAGTCCTTCCATCCCCAGCCAAAAAGAAGGAAAAAAGAAAGAAACAAACAAATATGTCTTTTGAAAAGAAAAAAAAAGGGTGGGGGGGATAAAAAAACACTTTGGGGGAAAAAAAAGCATTAAAATCTAACAGAAGTAAGCATTTTCACTGGTCTTAAATATTCAACTGACATTCACTAACTAGGATTTCCTGCTTCCTTCCCAATTTGCTGGCCTTTGTTTTACCGTTTTCACCAAAGGGAGATAACAATGGGAGGAAGAAGGCTTTTTTTCTTAAATACCCACAGTGATTCTTAAATCATTCCCTTAATTTTTTGCCCTATGTAATTTCCATATTTCTTGTTTTAAAGAAAGTTTAAATACTTAACAATCAGAATGATCTGTCCATCCATTAAAAAATAAATAAATCCAACAAACATTTCTATTTTTAAAATTTCTCCTGCATCAATTTGTTAATATAAAGAATCTTGCTGGTTTATTTCTACCTGATACTGAAAACAAATTTTTAATTGTTAGGTCAAACTGATGTTCTTTCAAAAACAAAAAGCTACGCATTTCTGTAGGATAAACAGGAGACAAAAAATGAAATCTTCAATAATGACACTGACACTACTGCTTGACAAAGTAGATCATGTATCTGGGTATAGCACTCACAGTGTGTTGTCATCTCGATCTATTTCTTTAGGATGAAACACAAGCATTTTATAGAACTAAACAATAAATAACAGGACAGGGATACACATACATTAAGAGGTACTGCCAAGGGTAAGTGAAATGCTTTCAGCAAGGAGAAGAACTGGAAAACAAAGATGCACTGAAAGGCCATCCAAAAGATCAAGGTGTATAGAGGAAAGGCTGAGGTACTCAGTGAAGCCAGAAGGCAAAAATGATAAAATTTAGGATTTATTAAAAAGAGAAAGTTATCGGATTGCTGTTAAAAAAGTTAAAAAAACACACAATGTTTAGAGGATAACTTTTTAATAACTGAGATAATTTCCAAAAGCCTATGTCTAATAGTTTTGTCAGAGGTAGAGGTAGATCCTAATTCGTCAACATACAAATGAAAAAACAGATTCTCTTTTTTTGTATATATAGATCTATCTATCTCTTTTAGTTTTTGTTTTTAATAGAATTGAGGATAGAGTCTGTAACTAAGGGTTACAAAGTTAATTCTCTGAATCTGGTTACGATGTGATAATTTCTTTAGTAACAAATTGGTGTTAATAAGATGGCCCAATTCTTAAATATGGAATCCAAGCCCCATACAAATACAACCAAGGGCCTGTTCTAATGACAAAAGCAAACATCACTAGGTATAACGACAGGGCATATATACCATAAATACCAAAGATTCATAGAAATCTAAAAGGGAATTAGATTATCCTTTCTTCCTTCATTCAAAAAACACTACTATGGAACTATTAAGTGCCAAGTAAAATGAACCTAAAAATAAAAAAAACAAGAGGCTAAGGCAGGAGAATCACAAGTTTGAGGCCAGCCTTAGCAAGTCAGCAAGACCCTGTCTCAAAATAAAAAATAAAAAGGGCTGGTAATGGAGCTCAGTGGTAGAGCATCCCTGGATTCAATTCCCACCATCATCTTACACGTGAGTGTGGCGCGAGCGCGCGCGCACACGCGCACACACACACACACACAGACACAGACATAGAAAAGTTAATGCTTAATTAAACCTCTAACAAAACCTCAGCCAGAACTGTCAAGATACACATTCCAGGGGCTGAAGTTGAGGCTCAGTGGTACAGCACTTGCCTAGCACATGTGAAGCACTGGATTCAATCCTTAGCACCACATAAAAATAAATAAATAAAATAAAAGTATTAAAAAAAGACATATGTTCCGGCACAACAGCATGTCAATCACAAATACAGCAGAAGAGGCAACTTTTAGGAATACATATTTGGGCAATTTTTCTGAAAAGCAGTTTGACAATATTTGTAAACTGTCTTACCCAAATGTTTGATATCTTTGAACAAATCATTCTTCTCTTGGGATTCTATTCTAAGAATAAAACCAGAAACACAGACCCTTTTACGTATTAAAATGTTCATCATAGTCATATTTATAATCCAAAACGATAGGAATTGAATTTTTAAGAGAAATTGATAAATGTAAATTAAGGTATTGCCTCACAAGATACTATTTAAAATGTTAAGAAAACAATTTGAAAACTATTTAATGACATGAGAAAATGCTAATACATTAAATGAGAAAAGCAGAATAAAAGACTGCATACATCCATAATTCCAAATTTATAGGATAGAAAACAAATAATAAGTATGGAAAAAGATGAATTAACAACAAAATATTAAAAAGGGTTATCTCTGGATAACCATATTCTACATGATTTTTATATTCTTCTTGTACCTTTATTATTTCTTAAAAGCTCTACAACTATCAGATTGCTTTTTTTTTAAATTTGTTTTTGTAGTTATAGATGGACAGAATGCCTTTATTGTATTTGTTTATTTTTATATGGTGCTAAGGATCAAACCCAGTGCCTCACACTTGCTAGGCAAGCGCTCTGCCACTGAGCTACAGCCTCAGCCCTA